ATTATGGCAGTGCATCAAAATTCAGTGTCATCAGTTTGCCAAAAAAAAAAAGTTTTACGCACCATTTACACCTGGTAGGGAGCAGGTGTACATTTTTTTCATACCAACTAACATTTTTAAAATATGAAAATTTTCATGAATTTGAAAGTTTACGTCAGAATGGCTTTACAATCGATTTACACAATTTGTTCTGCTTGTGTTTCATGAATGAGGCTCATTGACTTAATTATGAAATAATTATTAATTGAAAATTAATGTAAAAATATATATTAAAAATTATTTTTTTTCAATGGGAAGAAATTTATCAGAATTATTTCATAAACATTAATTAGTACAATGTAATTATCTCAAATTTTGCATGCAACAATAATGTTGCAGCAATTGACAGAACCCTGATCCAATGGCATACAGGCATCATCAGAATGACAGTACTCTAGCCCAGTGATGTTGGGGGATCCAGTAGGGGTGGCAATCAAATTTCAGGGTGACCCTGCCACTCTTTATCACAACCCTCAACCCTGCTAAAATGTAGTGCGAGCATGTGTGCTCATTGGCGCCCCCTTCTGCTGGTGGCGCCATAGGCAACCACCTAGCTTCCCAATGCCTAGAAATGGTACTTATTAAAGGGTCATGAAACCCCCCCCCCCCGTTTCAGCACTGGTTAGTTCTCACCACCGTTTTAAAAAATGCTAAAAAAGTGGGCGTGGTGCGCAGCAGAGCGGAGGAGGGGGAAGAGGGGAGACAGACAACACGCACATCTTCGTGTTCAGACAGTTTAATTTAGCTCCCATCGAGTTAAAAACACTCGACTAAAAAACGACTCACCTTCCTCACATGGCGGGCGACTCACTCTCCTCACAAAAATTGCATTATGGGAAATATCCTCTTGGCGCCATTAAAATACAGTATTTCTCATTTACTGTAAATCCAAATACAGTAATAAAAAAAAAAAAATAGTGGGAAACCTGACCAATGACAGAAAGGCTTTTTTCTGCTTGGAAGAAGAAGAAGAAAAGGAAGACGCACACACCACGCACCTGCAAATGTATGTACAATATTCCTGCTTTTTCACTACATATTTTATGTCAGTGTCATTTTAGGGCTTATTTGTTGGTTTAATTAAAAGCAAAATAATAATTAAAAAACCGCTGACACTGCACGAGGCGCAGTTTCCTCACGGTGTTCATTGGTAGGTTTTCGTGTGTGCATGCACGTTCTTATAGCCTCTCCGCACTTCACTTCAGTCGCACACGCACACGTAACGTTACTGCAAACACAGAAACACCACAAAAATAGTGAACAACACAATCTGAATTCTAGATGCACCATGGACGGCTGTAAGTTACAGTCGTGTCGACTATTCTCCAGCCTTTGTGAACACCTAAGATGACACATTCGAGATGGTAAAAAACGGAATGTCCAGTTAGTAACGGTAGAACCTATTTTAGAGTGAAGTAATCATTTTCAGCACACCTTAGTAGGAAGCATAAATGTGATTTTGAGATATCTGTGTCGATAATAACGTTACTGCGCTTTCTGCTGCTGTGCCAGATGTGAATAACGATACTGATGCAGTAACTGACACTTAGAAAAACTGTGTGGGTTGTGTGTGTGTAGGTCACAACAACTCTGGCAGATGCAAAAGACCAGGCTTGACTTCTTCTACTTCAAGGCTGATCATGCTTGGTAAGATCTTTCAGTACATGATTTAGTGATGTTAAAGGGATGATTTTTAAAAGTAAACATTTAGTCACACTTTATTCATGGCTCTCTATGTCTAACTTTCTACCTAACATCTCTTTTAAATAAGTTTCGAATAACAGGGGTAAGTAAATGATGATAGAATTGTCATTTTTGGGTGAACTCTCTCTTTGAACTAATTAGAAAGGCTCCAACATCTACATATTTTTTACTGATACCAAAATCAAATGTGAAATGTTTTTGCAAAGCTATAAATAACACAATAAAAAGCATGAACATGATAAATTATTTTATTTATTTATTTTTTAGGAGATTCAATTCTACGCAGCAAAAAAATGGATCCGGGCGATCGAAGGCAAAGTCTTCTTTCCTGTGATTGACCTTTCAGATATGTCCTCTGCATTTGCTGTTCTCTTCGGTTGCTATTATGTGCATAACATCAAGTACCAAGTGGAAGCAGCCACTACTTTGGAGTTTATTCAAATGTGAGTACATCTTGCAGTATGCTGTAATGTTAAGTAAACATTAAAGGGAAAAAGAAGAATGAAAGCCAGGTATGGCATGAGGGTAAGTGAGGAGAGAATTTGCATTTTTGAGTGAACAATCCCTTAAATGGGATAGTCCACCCAAAAATTAAGATTGTCATAATTTACTCACCCTCATGTCGTTCCAAACCTGTATGCACTTCTTTCTTCTGTTTAACACAAAATAAGATATTTTGAAGAATGCTGGTGACTACTTTCGGTTCCCATTGACTTTCATTGTATTTTTTGTCCATATAATGGAAGTCAACAGGAACTGAAACAACAACACTGGTCAACAACATTCTACAAAATACCTTATTTTGTGTTCCACAGAAGAAGGACGCGCATGCAGGTTTGGAACGACATGAGGGTGAATAAAGGATGACAGATTTGTCCTTTTTCAGTGAACTATCCCTTTTTAAGGTATTATTCACTCAAAAATGCTAATTCTCTCATCACCTACTCACCCTCATGCCATCCCTGATGTATATGGCTTTCATTATTCTGTGGAACACAAACAGAGATTAAAAAAAAATAAAAAATCCATCTCTGAAATCCATCATCTGCAAGTGGATATGTCCCTCAAAGTTGACACTTCTAAAACCACACAAAGAAAGCACAACACTAATCTATGTGACCCAGTGGATGAATCAATGTCTTCTGAAGCAAAACTATAGATATGTGTGAGAAAAATACTATAAACCATTGCTTCCGGCCAACTGTCAAACTTGGGTTCATGAGTTCACGCTTGCCGTAAATATCAGCACATTGTGAAGCCCGACAAGCTTGTTGTGAAGGAGATTGCACATAGGACCATCACTTCTTGCACGAGTTTCACAGTATGCTTATATCATGCTTCACAACATGCTGACATTTACGTCAAACAAACACATGTAGGACACTTGCCCAGAAGCAATGGTTTAAAATTTGCCTATCACTTTGCTTCAGATGACTTTTTTTCCCTAAAATTTTTTGTTCCACAGAAAAAAGTCTTATACATCTGGGATGACATGAGGGTGAGTAAATGTTGAGAGAATTTATATTTTTGGGTTGAGTGTCCATCTGTTACTTGGCATGCAGTAATGACAACTGACAATTTGAGTTAAAATAAAATGAACTGTGTTCTATTCTGTTTATTCTTCTAATGAATTCATAACAGACAGTTACAGAGTACATTTTATTTATATAAATTAAGTGGAACTTCTTATCATTCTTATGATTTAATAAATGAAGTATTTTATGACAAAGTGTCATGTCAAAGCCTAGACTTTTTTCATACCATGTAACAAAAGGAAAATTAAAGACTGTTAGTTTTTATTTCACATTATTCCAAATTTATTTCACCTTTCATTATGCTATTGAATGAAGTTACAAAAAAGTGTTTTCCTTCTATAACAGGTTCACTTAATGTTTTATAACAAAAATAACTGATCATTTAAATACAAAAAAACAATAAACAAAAAAAATTAACATTTTAAACATTTTATAAACTTATTAAACTTAATAAACAGATTAAAGTTCAAAAGAATTATAAAGAACAATAGGTAACACTTTACAATAAAGACTCATTAGTTAACCTTATAGTAGACCGGTAAATAGATCGGGGAGATAGACCAGTTGAGAGGGGCAGTGTTTGAGATTTTAACCAGTTGATGGAAAAGTATTCTTAAAATGTATTCTAAAAATCTAAATTTGTAATAGAGTTATTCACAGTAATTTTGAAGTGCCCACTATAACAATATATTCCTTAAGATATTTTTCTAATTTTTCATATCGTAATACAGTTAAAGGGATAGTTCACTCAACTGAAACTTCTGTCGTCATTTACTCACTCTCATGTTGTTACAAACACGTAAGACTTTCGTTCATCTTTGGAACACAAATGAAGATATTTTAAATAATCAAATTTTTGTCCATCCACTGAAAGTATACTCAACCAAAATATTCCAGTTCAAAAAGTGCATAAAGACAGAAAATTTATCCTAAAGCTTTTATTCACATATAAACATTAATCATCCAAATACATAGAGTACATCACATGTAGTAAACAGAATCTCAAACATGCTTGAGAACCAATTAGGCATCTTAAACCACTCGAATCATATGGATTATTTTAACAATGTCTTTATGCACCTTTTGAAGCTAAAAGAATTTGGTTGCCTGGATAGACAAAAATTAAGAGAGAATATTAATTTTAATTTGTGTTCTGAAAATGAATTTTGAGTTTTATGGGTTTTTAACAACATAAGATTTTAATTTGGGCTGAACTAATGCTTTAAAAAGTCTTTACAAAGAAAATGAAATGGTCTAATGAATTATTTCTTTTATGTTAAGGTTCATTGCGAGGATCAGTCCTGTCAACAGCAAGTGCTCTGCAAAATTCCAGATCAGCAAAGAAAGTGGGAAGATGGTGCAAAGGAGAAACTCTGGCCCGAACCCTCGTGTCCTCCTTCATTAAGGAGTTTGTGGATTTCAGCTGGCAGCTTTGAAAAAAAATATTTCATGCTTCTTGTGTGTAACAAAAGTTTGAGTTCTTTTAAAAATTCACTATCACTATTCACTATTATCATAGTATGTTGTGCTTAGGATAAATTTTAAGAATTTACCTATAATATTTAGAATAGTATGTAATATATATAATAGTTTGTAACAATGTTTTGTTTGAGTCTTAACTGAATCTGAAAATATTAAAATGTTATTGCAAGGATTACAATTGAACAATTAAAAAAAGTAAAAGTTACACAGTTGTCATTTCTTTTTAAAATAAGCAATCTTGTATTTCAATATGTTACTGAAGAAAAGACCATAAATTACTGTATATTTTACAGTAAAAACTAAAAGTACAGTATAAATACTGTAAATACATTTACAGCAAGTTAAATGGTACTGTAATTATTAATACAGTACTTTTACTGTAAGTTTAATTAAGTTACTGGCGAACTGCTGCCAGTAAGTTACTGTAATTTCTACAGGAAATTTTTAACCGTGAAGCATGAAAAACATTGTTTAGCAACTTTACAATAAAGATCTGTAAAGCTTTTGTGGATTTGACTAATTATCTTTAATGTACAATATTCTGAAAAAGTGACCTTTTCTGTTTTTGCAAAGTTCACATGGTGACAAAATACATAACTTTAAAGATACATTTTTGATTTGCAGTTGTTTTGATTTTTGACATATTTCAAAATTACATACACTTATGTTTTTGTAACCATCACATTAGTTAACTGTATAAGTTACTTTTTTTTTTCTTTTTTTTAAAATCAGCTTACAACAAATTCCTTATTTGATAACACCATTCAAAAGAGCATTCACTACAAATAACATTTTTAACAAGGCACCAACAGCTATACTGCTTGGGACCCCTAAACAGTGACTGTTTCACTGAGTCTTAGTGCCTCCAAATAAACATCCAAGCCAAACCACTGACTTGACCTTAGGGGATTGATGTGTTGAGTGACTTCTCGCTGTACAGCCTCCTGAAGCGATGCAGGGGCCTCAGGAACTTCAACAACACCACAATCCATGGCAGGAACAGGACCATCCCAGTCCACTCCAAAGTTAGTGAAATCCATCTGTTAAAACCAGGATAGAGGAGGGGGTTAGTTCAGTTTGGAATATCTAGTGTTCAAAATATATCAAATGATTACATTTTTAAAAAGTAATATCGTTATAGACAAGTAAAAGTTGTAATTAATGTTAAAATAAAAACAAGGCACAAGCTGCTGTCGTTACAGAGATTTCAAAGCTAAAGGGTCTACTCAGGCAGAGTACCTAAACCCCCTTAAATACCATCCAAGTTTCCATAAAATAAACACAAAGCAACCAAAATGTAATAATTTATTAATAACTAATAGTAATTCTACTATGTAATGTAGTTCTGTGCAATGTGTCAGGTGGTCACCCTAATCCAAATCCCGCTGAATTATCTAATGTTGTTTTCATACAACTCACTGGATCAACTGGAAAATCTGTATTCAACAGTTGACCTGAAACCCACAACTGTTGTGGAGATCTGTTGCCTTCAGATGAGAGGGGATGTCGGTCCCACACCTGTCTGAACAGGTTAAGGTCCACATTCAGTCTAGGCACCATGACATAGTGTAGACATATGAGGTATTTTTCATTGTCTGGGTCCAGTGCTCCAATTTCCTGCAGATACTGGAAAGCTGCATAGTAATTTGAAGTAACTGCACACCAGACATCCCGCCACAGATGCTCAATACGCTGACTGTGAACACTTCTTCCTGTAATATAGCTGGTCTTCTCTAAGGTGTAAACATAGAAAGAATAGAGAAAACAAACAGTCACTGTTACTACTAGAAATGGTCTAATAGTGTGTATAAATATGCACACTACCAGATGAACATTTGGCTACAAACATTTCTTCCTATAACTACATTTTAAACATTTAAGTCGGTGGTTCTCAACGTTTCTTTGGGGCCAGCTTCCCCCTTTCCATTATCGCCCCCCATATAATAGCGGTTTGGATAATGGATAGATAATATATTAGTGTTGCTATTGCTAGTAGTAGTAGTATTATAAACACAGAATACTAATCAGTAATATTCAGGGAAGCATGTAATTGAATGCCCAAAAAAACATTTTAATTTCACTGAACTTGTTTTACACACAGAAATATAATAGAAATATGTCATTCAAACTTTAATTAGGGAACTTATTAGAAACACCAGCCAATGAAAAAAAGATGCTTTTTTTATTAATCCACTGGAAAACAAGAACAATAAAAAAGTAAAACTTTCTTAAATGTCTGTTTAGTTTAACAATACCAGTTTTGATATAGTGTCTGGATGCTAGCCAGAAACTACATTCATTTGAAGTCACAGACTCTAACGGCGCAACACATCCCAGCAAAAGCAAATAGAACCCGTTATTGTTAGCCTGTCTACACTGGGTGTGGCACGATGCATGTTGTTACCTGGCCCACGAAGAGGATGTTCCAACATAAACCTTGCCACATCAACATTCTCACCGCCCTTATCACTCCTCACTCTACTTGGCAAACCAAACTGCTCGACAGCTTCCAAAAATGGCTCCAAAACTGTTGCAGCCTGGTTGTTAGTGGAAGCCTTCAAATACATGATTTTATGGCTGAATCCATCTATGCCCCCATGGATGACGATGCGCTACCTTATAGGAAGCACAACCAGCTTTAGCTATTGCACACACTTTCTATGTGTAATTATAAAATATATGTCTGCCACCAAATTCAAATTGAATGTGCTGTGTTCAAAGCCATTGTAAATCACTGTAAACACATAATTGAAACCATTTTTAAAATAAACTGTCTACCTACTTAATCAGTCTGTGGTTTCCATCGATGTGCCAAAGAGACAAAGGTGAAGGAACTGAACATACTCTTCTATGAATGAAATTAAGGTGCAATCCACGCAGCAGGGTGCCTACTGGATCCACAGCCTTCAGTGTTTCCCGAACTGTAGATCGTGTTACTCTATATAAGAGTGGAGAGGACAACAGCATCAGCACTTCAAATTTGTACTGTGACCAGTTTTCAAACAATGGTCTGGAAAGGGATGCTAAGGGGTCCGTAGAACAATAGGGAGAAAGTTAAACAATTTTTGGGGTGCTGTCAAAGTTAACATGTAAACAGTAATTAAATAAAGGGGTGGGGTTGTAAGACATCATTAAACTTATAAAATGGCTTTGGAACAATATTTTTTTGTAAAAAGCACTATACAAAGTAATTAGAATTGAATTAAAAATGTTAACAGTACACCTAGTCGATAGAAAAAAAACATTTAACAATACAAAAAAGTATAGATTTTCTAGATATTCTTTTAATAATTTAATTTTGCATTAAAACATTAGTAAGACCATATAAAAGCAATTTCTTGATTTTGAAAACAACGTTTACAATATCACACATAATATTTTTACACATACAAGGAGGTCTTTATCCATGAAAAATATAGTTCCTATATATATTTTTGGAAACTAGCAGAGGTCACTTGCAGAGGATCATCATTATAATAGTGGGCCCTAAGCATCAAAACCCCCACACTTTGATCTGCATTGTAAAAAGCCCTAAATAAATGAAGGTGACTTGACTTGACTTACTTGATGCCTGAACTCTTGAGATATCCAGACACCATGGCATATCCTGAATTCGGACACCGTTGAATGAATTCGCTAACCACCTTTTTCAGGTCTTCAGCTGATATCTGGGTGTATGTTTGTTTCACAGAAAGCCCATATTCCTTCATTCTTCTCTTGACAGTGCTTAAACTGACATGCAACAGGCGAGCTATCTCAGAAATCGTGAAGTCTAGCTCAAGGAGGTATTCCAACTGATCCATGCTGATGTCAAAGGCAGGCCGTCCCTTCTCGCCAGTATGTTTAAGCACTGGAGCTTTGTAGCCATGAGATGTGGATTCCCTTGTTGATTCAAGCAGCTCATGTGCCTCCTGTAATTTCTCCAATGCACTGTCCATGTTTCCAAAAGATGACCGGTCAGCACATTTGCCAAGTAGAGAGATTACATTCTCTATTTGGTAGACCACACTATCAACACCATCTTCTGAAACTGCAGGGACGTGACGTGAGAAACTCTGCTATGTGGGCTGCAACATCCTGAGACAGCTCAGTCCTAGAGTAAAGTTGACAGCAAAATTTGTATAATTAAAAAAAAAAGCTTTTCTTTGACAAATTAACATGTGACCAATTGGAGAGATTGATTGCCTGCTAGCTGTCCACACAGAAAAAAAAAACTTGTTTTACTTAAAATCCTCATAGCAATTTGCACAAGCATATTTTAAGTAAATATTACTGCTCTAATATCAAGTATAACTCACTTGTCATTATCAAGTAATATCTACTTACTATTGAAATTAACATACATAAAGAAATTAATTAAATATTACTTACTCTTCAGCTGATATCTGGGTGTATGTTTGTTTCACAGAAAGCCCATATTCCTTCATTCTTCTCTTGACAGTGCTTAAACTGACATGCAACAGGCGAGCTATCTCAGAAATCGTGAAGTCTAGCTCAAGGAGGTATTCCAACTGATCCATGCTGATGTCAAAGGCAGGCCGTCCCTTCTCGCCAGTATGTTTAAGCACTGGAGCTTTGTAGCCATGAGATGTGGATTCCCTTGTTGATTCAAGCAGCTCATGTGCCTCCTGTAATTTCTCCAATGCACTGTCCATGTTTCCAAAAGATGACCGGTCAGCACATTTGCCAAGTAGAGAGATTACATTCTCTATTTGGTAGACCACACTATCAACACCATCTTCTGAAACTGCAGGGACGTGACGTGAGAAACTCTGCTATGTGGGCTGCAACATCCTGAGACAGCTCAGTCCTAGAGTAAAGTTGACAGCAAAATTTGTATAATTAAAAAAAAAAGCTTTTCTTTGACAAATTAACATGTGACCAATTGGAGAGATTGATTGCCTGCTAGCTGTCCACACAGAAAAAAAAAAACTTGTTTTACTTAAAATCCTCATAGCAATTTGCACAAGCATATTTTAAGTAAATATTACTGCTCTAATATCAAGTATAACTCACTTGTCATTATCAAGTAATATCTACTTACTATTGAAATTAACATACATAAAGAAATTAATTAAATATTACTTAATTATTTTTGAGTAGTTATTTAAAGCAATTAAGTCAATTAATATTTTTAGACAGGAACCTTGCTTTTAGCCAAATATTACGTAAATCTTACTGTTTACTGTTATGAAATATGTAGATTTTAATTTGTGTAATTTGTATTTACTTAGTTTTATGAATTTATATTACTCCTTATTATGTAAACATTACATATTTCTTTTGTCTAATATTACCACATAAATAATCTTTTGTTCTTTACCTTTACATTAACAAGTCTATCAGTCACATTTACATGACCTAGTAAAGTATGGACAAGTTTATAAAGGTGCATTCACAAAAACCATGACAAGCACAATTGTATTTGTCATGAGGGACTGGAACCCTTGTGAAATGAAAATCATAAATAAATAAAAATAAAAATAAAATATAGTTAGTTATAGCCAACATTAAACAAAATATGTATTGATGTAGAATGGTCATTTATGGTCTATAAAAAAAGAGGCTGTTTCAAGTGTTTGCTGTCCTGTAAAAACAATTTAATCTCCATTATCAACATGAACTGCATTTGCTGAACCATACACACTTATTTCAACCCCAGGAGACAAAATATAGAACACATTACATAAAAACAAGATGAAGCTTTAACCTGACAGAGCACAGTACTATTAACATGTCATCATATTACATAGTAATTTTTTTAAATCAACAAGTCTTGCATTCTGCATCAGTTTCTTAATTTTGTTAAAACATACCTTGAACAACTGTTGACATGTTCTTCCAACTTGTGAACAGCTACATGTTTAAGGCACAACCTGCACAACTCAACAGCTACCTCGTCCTTCATCACAGGGCAAATCATTTTTAAACTGTTTTCACATTTTACAGCATGAAGTGCAATTGCACTCGAAATTCTGTAACATACCTTTACTTCAGGCTCTTCTGGTTCTATGTAAATAGCTTGCTGCAGTGGCACAATATAAGCCAAAGCTTTGAGACTAGTCTCACTTCGAAGAAATTTCACGCTGTAGCCAGAATGTGGCACTGGTATCTGTGTCAATGCCTGGCTCCTTCCACATCTCATTATTTTAAAGCCTCCTGCCTGTCTCAGCAAAGGATAAGCACTGAACAGTTGTTCACAAAATTCGGTGTATGAAGAGCTGTTATTATTGGGGAAAGTGATTTTCTGTTTTCCCAGCCCAACACTTTGCAACACTACGCTCTTCTGTTAAAGGTGCCATTTCAGCCTTAGGGTCAGCTAGACAAAAAAAATTATGGGACCAGGGTGTTTCATAAACTCTGCGGGACTGAGTGGACCGCCTTGCTGCTGGCTGTCGATAAGGCTGGAAAAGTCTTGAAAGATTAGCCTGCACAAAATCTGTTCTGGAGGTTGATGGCTGAGGGAAATTAATGGAATTTCGTAATTGATGAGATTCATTTGTTCTTACTGCCAGATGAGAGGAAATAGACCTTATTTGGCCTGTGTTCCCCTCACATGTATTATGTTCAGTCGTTGCTGCAGTGTCAGCAGGGTTTGAGTGTCTGGGTGTTTGGTTATTCAGTAACAGCTGAACAGCCTCCTGGATAAGTCGGGCAGCTTGCAGATTTGTGTCACTTGTGCTAAAAAAAAGAAGAAATAAAAGAGGAAAAAAAGATGTGACATTACATTAGTAAACCAGATTACATTAACCTACATACGATATAAAGATTTTTAAGAAATATAATAAAAAAAATAATTGTGATTAGATGAACAGTAATTGATAATAGACTATGCATGCACAAAAACAGACTATGCCACAGAAACACAATATCACATAAATCTCTTCATGTGCTCAACTTATTAATAGTTTCGTTTCTATAAATTAATTGGCTAGCTATTGTCCAAATGCTAACAGTACCAACTGTTGCCGACAAGATCATATTGTGCAAAAATAGAATAGCAACCAGTAATTCATGGAAAAAAGTAACAAATAGACATTGAATAATTAATCTGGTAATTGTGCAGCCAAAGAGATAATTTATGTAGATACTTACTTCGAATTGGCTGCCATTTTTTAAGCAGTTAGATAAACCTAAAGGATGAGAAGGTGGGAGCCAAAATTATCATGTGCTTTGCCTGTGAAATTCGACTATATTTAATATTCATATTGACTCATGAGTTGAGTATGGCAGATTACATCAACTTCGCCAGAAAATTGAGTGAACATAATTTGTGAAACATAACCCGCCAAATTGCTTAGGGATTTAACATCATTATACCCGTCAGTTGTTGTTCAATTTTAATATAATATAAATATAACTTAAATATATTTAAATATAATGTAACGTGATGTACTTTGATCTAAAAGAGATGCATTTTCCCAATAATAACCAACAGCAGAATCGCAAAACCATACCTCACAACAGCGCCAGGACATCAGTCTGAGACCGGAAG